AACCCTCAATGAAGCAAAGTACATCAACTAACACCTATATCTACATCATGAACCACTGATTGAGAGCTTCAAGACCTTTTTAGCATCCCAAAATTTCGAGAAACAGTTATGGAATGCCGAAAGTCACTCATAACATACCCTACAGCATTTAAACAATTTTCGGTGACATGTTACAATCGGTGGTAACTTTGAGTATACTGCATGTATTTAACTTGAGCACCATGATTTCTAATAAAGTCAACTAATTTTCAATCAACAGTACATGCTATTAAAAAGTTTTTGTAATTGCATTATTCTGCCAAATGAAATGCTATTCAAAAATTCAGTTATTACACTTTTTTTGTCTGAAAATTTAGCTTTTGAAATAAATTCTGAATAATGAGCGAAGAATAACAAATTCGACCCAGCTATTGAAAATGAACCTACCACCTGTTGTATTATATCTCCCAATTTTCAATGACAGTCGCCGTCGGCTGAAGAAACTCGCAGCTGTTATACTTTTTAAGTTTTATTTTCGTTTTCTTTGATTTTTTGATTAATTTTATATGTTCGGGAGCCTCCAAGTTGGTTTCGTCAATCAACGGCGTAAAAGCTCACATAATGGGTCGATGAACTACTCCATCAATTAAAAGTGCAATAGAGAAGTTTTTTCTCAATTTTGGGTTCAACCATTTTCGTTAGAAGTTCCATGTACTTAAAAAAATGTATTTCTAGATATCGGTTGCAAGTTAGTGAGCTTTCGGGTTAGCTCACTCTCAATAAACAAATTGGTTTGAGCACCAAGCATATCCATTCCAGCCATGATCACAATTCTTAGGTTTACTAGACGATGCATCTTCATCGCCATGATGAACTTTGAGATTAATATGAAGGTTTGAATATCCAGTTCCTTTCTTTTGTTGAAATCTTTTCGCACTGGCATATCCATTGATCTTTCAAATCTGTTCATCTAACAAAACTCTTGGCATGAACAGCCTAAAAAACTAGAAATTTCCAAAACACCAGTTATTGTGATTAATTGACAAGTGCCAATGCAATAATTGTAAATTGGCGATGTCAATTATCAATGATTGTTTTTTCAATTTTTGCAAATAATTGTTCATTCGAAAACTTTTTAAAAAATTTAAACAATTTTCGGTGATATGTTACAATAGGTGGCAGCTTTGAGTATAGTGCATGTATCAAAAATGAGAACCATGATGTATATAGTCAATTCATTTTATATTAATTGTACATGGTATAAAAGAGTTTTTTTAAATAAATTACTCTGCCAAAAGAAATGTTATTCAAAAATTCATTTATTACACTTCTTTTGCCTAGAGAATTCGATTTTGCTGAACAAACTCGCAGCTGATCTACTTTTTAAGTTTTATTTTCGTTTTCTTCAATTTTTTTATCAATTTCATAAGTTCGGGAGCCCCCAAATTGATTTTATCAATCAACGGCGTAAATGCTCACATAATGGGTGGATGAACTGCTTCAGCAATCAATTTTAAATGCAAAAGATAGGGTACGTTTTTTCTCAATTTTGCGTTCAACCATTTTCGTTCTAAGTTCCATGTAATTAACATCTGAATTTCTAGATATCGGCAGCAAGTTAAAAAGCTTTCGGGTCAGCCCACTCTCAACAAACGAAACTGGTTTGAGCTCCAAGCATATCCATTCCAGCCATGAAGAGATGCTTAGACCATTTTTATCGATGCCGCAATCACAAATCTTAGATTCTTAGATTTACTTAGATTGATTTTTTGATTAATTTTATATGTTCGGGAGCCTCCAAGTTGGTTTCGTCAATCAACGGCGTAAAAGCTCACATAATGGGTCGATGAACTACTCCGTCAATTAAAAGTGCAATAGAGAAGTTTTTTTCTCAATTTTGGGTTCAACCATTTTCGTTAGAAGTTCAACCAATTTTGTATTTCTATATATCGGTAGCTTTGACCATTTTTATCGATGCCGCAATCACAAATCTTAGATATACTAGACGATGGCATCTTCATTTTTAAGGCCATGATGACCTTTGAGATTGATATAACGGTTTAAACATCCAGTTTATTTCTTTTGTTGAAATCTATTCGCACTGGCATATGCATTGATCTTTCATATCTTGTTTTCTAACAAATTTCTTGCAGAATTCTTGGCATGACTAACCTGAAAACTTGAAACTTCTAAAACACCAGTTATTGTGATTAATTGACAAGTGCCAACTCAATAAAGGTAAATTGGCGCTGTCAATTATCAATGATTGTTTTTTCAATTATTGCAAATAATTGTTCATTCAAAAACTTTAATTTATTTAAACATTTTTCGGTGATATGTTACAATAGGTGACAGCTTTGAGTATAGTGCATGTATAAAAATTGAGAACCATGATGTATAATATAGTCAATTCATTTTCAATAAATTGTACACGCTATAAAAAAGTTTCTGTGAATACATTACTCTGCCAAATGAAAAGCTATTCAAAAATTCAATTATTACACTTTTTTTGCCTATGAATCGGGACTTTGAAATAAATTGTAAATATTGAGCGAAAAAAACAAAGAGCAAAACAGCTTTTGAAGTTGAACCTACCACTTATAGTAATATATCACTCAATTTTCGATAACAGTCGCCGTCGGCTGAAGAACCTCGCAGCTGATCTACTTTTTTTGTTTTGTTTTCTTCAATTTTTGATCAATTTTATAAGTTCAGGAGCCCCCAAGTTGGTTTCGTCAACCAACGGCGTAAATTCTCACATAATTGGCCGACGAACTGCTCCAGCAATCAAGTAAAAGTGGAAAAGATAGGGGAAGTTTTTCCTTAATTTTGCGTTCAACCATTTTCGTTATAAATTCCATGTAATTAACAAATGTATTTCTATATATCGGTAGCAAATTAGTAAGCTTTCGGGTTAGCTCACGCTCAACAAATGAAACTGGTTTGAGCTCCAAGCCAATCCATTCCAGCCAAGAAAAGACGCTTTGACCATTTTTATCGATGCCGCAATCACAAATCTTAGATATACTAGACGATGCATCTTCATATTCAAGGCCATAATGAACTTTGAGATTAATCTAAAGGTTTGAACATCCAGTTCCTTTCTTTTGTTAAAATCTTTTCGCACTGGCATATCCATTGATCTTTCACATCTGTTTTTCTAACAATATTCTTGTAAAATTCTTGGTATGACCAACCTAAAAAACTTGATATTTCTAAAACACCAGTTATTGTGATTAATTGACAAGTGCCAAAGCAATTATGTAAATTGGCGATGTCAATTATCAATATCAATGATTGTTTTTTCAATTTTTGCAAATAATTATTCATTCTAAAACTTTAAAAAAAATTTAAACATTTTTCGGTGATATGTTACAATAGGTGGTAACTTTGAGTATAGTTTATGTATTAAACATGAGAACCATGAGGTATAATATAGTCAATTCATTTTCAATAAATTGTATATGCTATAAAAAAAATTGTAAATACATTATTCTGCCAAATGAAATGCTATTCAAAAATTCAATTATTACACTTCTTTTGCCTATAAACTTGGACTTTGAAATAAATTATAAATAATGAGCGAAAAATAACAAAGAGCGATCCAGCTATTCAAATTGAACCTACCACCTACTGTAATATATCACCCAATTTTCAATGACAGTCGCCGTCGGCTGAACAAACTCGCAGCTGATCTACTTTTTTAGTTTTATTTTCGTTTTCTTAAATTTTTTGATCAATTTCTTAAGTTCGGGAGCCCCAAATTGGTTTTGTCAATCAACGGCGCAAATGCTCACATAATGGGTGGATGAACTGCTCCAGCAATCAATTCAAAGTGCAAAAGATGGGGGATGTTTTTTCTCAATTTTGCGTTCAACCATTTTCGTTATAAGTTCCATGTAGTTAACAAATGTATTTCTAGATATCAGTAGCAAGTTAGTAAGCTTTCGGGTTATCTCACTCTCAACAAACGAAACTGGTTTGACCTCCAAGCATATCCATTCCAGCCATGAAAAGATGCTTTGACCACTTTTATCGATGCCGCAATCACAAATCTTAGATTTACTAGACGATGCATATTCATTTTTAAGGCCATGATGAACTTTGAGATTAATATAAAAGTTTGAACATCGTTCTCTTCTTTTGTTAAATATTTTCGCACCGGCATATTCATTGATCTTTCACGTCTGTTTATCCAACAAATTTCTTGCTAATTTCTTGACATGACCAACCTAAAAAACTTAGTAAATTGGCGATATCAATTACCAATGATTGTTTTTTCAATTATTGCAAATTATTGTTCATTCGTAAACTCATTGCACAACCCTGGTTCGACGATTTCCTTATTAACAGTTTTCATAGGCGCACACTTGTATTGGGGTCCAAGATTGGGTTCCAATTCGATTGTTTCAGAAGCGCTAAAAACTGATTTTTTTACGATAGTCGGAACAAGTTTGTTGGCTATTTTAGTCCTTACGGATTAATTGCAGACTCAAAATTGACCCCCGTGCGGCAAGGTAATAGTACCTCTCAACTTGAGTACCGGTACATGTACTAGTACCAAATGTACTAGTACCGGAACCATGCCAACTCTACACTTAAGGCAGTGTTTGTTTGAAATGTTTACATTACAGTAACCCATTAAGACAATAGCTTTGTTTTCACTTATTATGGAATCGATGTCTCAGGCTTAACTCACTCGAAACAACAAAACCTTTGTCTTATGTGTGGCAAACGTGAATGGTCAATTTCTTGCAGATTTGTAAGAAATTTGTTCAAGGTGAAAAAGCCTATATCCCAATAAAAAGTACACGTGCTATAGAAGCAAAAAAACACAGCTAATGGTTTTTTTTAATTTTTTGTATTTTCCAAGTTAAAACAAATTTAGTCCACTATTTCATCTTTTGTTCGCATAATCAATTTTGGCTAGCAAAATTCAAGCTGCTGCTTGCAAATTAGGTAGTACTTATTTTGTCTCTGTAATCTATTCTGTTCGTTTTTTGTACATTAAATTAAACTACCTTGTTTTTGGTGAGCTCAACCTTCTGTCGCTGAAGAATCTCTCTCAGTCCGCTGTTTTCTGTACAAAAACAATCACAGCTAGTTGTAACTTTAAAAACCTGCTTAATCTGATTAGAAAAGGAGTAGCAGAGATCACCGTACGAAAAAAGAACTTTTATACCGCAAAGTATATGTTAAAATTATGACCCTTCCAATCTTTGCTAAATATAAATCAGTTTTTTAAATGCAGTATTTATGTATCAAGTAGAATACTCCTTAATCATATTTTTCCAACATGAAAAGACGAACTTGTCGATAAAAAGGAAGTTTCTTGTAGATTAATTGTAGAAGGAACTTTGAACAACACTAACCATTAGTTTGCTTGTCAAGTTTATCTTTCAGTTCGTAATTAGCTTTCCGGAGATCCAAAATTTGACTCTGTAAACAAAAATTATATGAAACGCAAAAAAAATAAATTAAAAACACGTTTTTGATCTGAAGTTTCTTATTTACCTGCAATCGCGAAAATTCTTCGCCCGATAGAGACATTTGCAAATAAATTACAACTACATTGGTCAAATTGTCGAATCACAGAATTCTGAAACCAAAAATCTGCATCAGCCAATCCGTCCACAACGTGAAAGAAATTTTATTCTGAAAAAACCGGGATTTAGTCGTTATAAATGTTTTATTAATCTTTTTTTTAAAGCCAGGAGGCGCGTTTAAATATTCCTCGTGCTTAAAAACTAGTTTTCGTGTATAAATGTACAGAAAATGAACACTAATAGAAATGATTTATAATGGAAAGTCTGATCATGGTGGACTGAGTTTATTGGCTAGGAACAAGAATAATGACATAGTTAATAAAATATCGATTTGCTTCTTTCGATGGCCTCGGATTGTGATTAGGGCAGTTTTCAATATTGTGAAGGACAGCTTCTTTCTGATTTAATTGATGGTGCTGGAATATGAACAATCTGTCTTTTCACTCAGCTTCTCGGCAAGATCAGAAATGAATGGCTCTGCTTCCTCACCCATCGCGCCATTGATCGCGAATGCCGAGGAGTGAAAGAAGCATCACGCGCTCGTTGTCCTCTTCTTTCTTACGGTTTTCATGCGACTTACGAAGAGGGCCCAGTTTCTGAGTTCGGTTGCTGGGAGCAATGGGATGGGTGAAACATTTGTCCACAAACATTTTCTGGAGTGGTGCCCTAAAATCACGACAGGCAACATCAAGTCTTGCGTTGTCTTCTTAATTGCTCCCTGTCGCTAAACCTTCACTCCCTGTCAACAGTATTAGTCCGGGCTCCGTGCTCGCATCATTACACAGTTCGTAAAAAATCTACTACAACGTCGTGAAACGCGTTAGGACGCATTATGACAAAGCCGCGTAACTTGCAGGTCAATGTGTGGTCAACGTCGCTTGGCAATCCACTTTCACATGTTTTAGCCATTCTTCTCAGAAGCCATCCGTAGCCCATGCATACTGCATCTCGGAAATCATCTCTGTTCATGTAAAAGTTTAGTTCTCTTGACGGAAGACAGGTGAGCCAGGTTGATGTTCCTTTTGGTTTATGAAGATCCAATGATCGTTTCAGTTTACTGTGGGCTGACTATGCGCGTTAACAGGATTTATCAGACCCAATCCGTCAGCTGCACACGGTAGAGATATGATTTCTCGCTCGACATCAATGATTGTTTTACATAGTAGCACAATTCAGACACTTCTGAGTTTCTCCTCTAGATCTTGCAAGTGATGTTGTGACGAAAGTCCAGCGAATTTGAATGACTTTCACTAGGACATATTAGGTCAAATGTGGCTGTTTCTGCAGCAGTTTCGAGAACAACCAATTCGTCGCACCATTCTTTCATTTCCTCTCGAAGATATTAAAAATCACATCAGAAATTACTAAACTTACTACACTCGTCCTTCATTTTTCTTCATAGGTGTTTTTCTTATATTTCCAAAAAGGGAAATTGTTATTCGCCAATAGGTACGGGCGAATCCTCTTAAAAGGTATACCAGAGAAAATAGAACGATTGAAGGGTTAGATTATTCTACACATTTTTGAAAAACTCTCTGTGATTTCGCGTTTCTCAGAAGTTTTGTTTCTGGAATTTGAGATTAAAAGAAATATTAAAAGAAAACACAAAACAGGCAAAAAACGACGTCCAAATATTTCGTACGAGAAACGCTTATGCCAATGCTCATGCTTCATTATCGAGAAAATCGAAGTCAATTGTTTGCAAACATGGTGCTCAGCATCACCGACGCGCAAATTGTGATCACGACCCGGAAATTGAGAACCGCTCTACCCTTCCTTATGTCGTCATTCTCCCGTGGTCTAAAACCCAATGTGGTTCACAAACTGTTGTTGTGAATGTGATTTCACCTATGTTGGACTAACTTTTCGACATTTGGCCCCAATGATTGAGCAACATCAGAAAGAGGACTGTAGACATACACAAGCGTCAGTGTGGAGAGGAAGCGACCACAGCACATTTGAGTTGGGAGATAATAGATGAGTCGAACAACGCATTGAAACTCCTAACATTGGAAGCGCTGCATGTTAGGAAACCGAGGTCAGGAATCAACACGCGGGATGAGTTCAGGAGTAGGGAGCTAAAACTTAGATTTTAGTCCAAAAATAATTTTGGCCGAGAATATCTAACGTCGATAAAACTTGTAAAATGGAAAAGTTAGTATGAGGAAATGCTAGATAATATAAAACATCTCAGAAATTTAAGGAAAAGCTTAAATTTAATTGGTGGAAAGATTTTAATATGGTTTGTTTAGAGCAACTTAATGGTCTTTTATTGATGTTTTAACCTCTCTTAATAATTTTTGTCAATTTTTTTTAATCTGTAAAAGAACATAGTTCCAAAATTGTTCGAAATCATACTTTATTGACTTTTTTTCGTAAACAGAAAAAACTCCAGTGCGGCAATTGAATCATTGACAAAGTCGTGTGGAGCAAAATCAGGAGGAATTTGAAACCTAGAGAACCGAGAAACTGCAGGATTAGGGACGTGTTCTCTCGTGGATAGTGGAATCGGTGGCCCGGTGCCTAGAAACTTCAGAACAACATCATAATTTCTACTCCTGTTTTTAATGCTCTGAACAGTTGAACTTAATTCTTCGAGTTTTTTATACCAGAGCATGAGTATTTGAGGAAAAGGAAAGAGTCAACCAACTCTAATGGATCCTATATGTAACTGTCACAATAATAACTATAAATTGTATTAGTCTCCATTATAGTTGTATTCAAGTAGTCTGTGGATCAGAGAACCAGCTACGTGGGTGCGTTCACAAGCAAGTCGAAATGCTAACTGAATTTTTTCCGGCTAATGGCCTGGAAACTGAACCACTATAGACCAAAAATCAACTGGTTGGGTCGAGAAGGTCAAAAACACGTAGAACCGTCGCTGTGCATTTTCTGGCGGAATGTTAAGAAGTGTAACAGTCGTTCGGTCGCATCATATATTAGATTAAGAAAAAAAAAGCCTTACAAGCATTGGTTCAAGACTCAGGGACACTATTTCTTGTGCTTTTGTACCTCAGTCAGTCGGAGCTTACAGCTTGAAGGCTATTACTAAAATTTCGCCCCCTCTAGATAGAAATTAGCACGCCCCCGTGGCTAGATCGCTAAAGACCTAACACACGCGAATTGCGGTTAAAAACAGGGTTGGTATCTCAAGTGATTGCCACTAGTTTCTATTAGACAGTGTACATTTGATCCATTTTGAGTCGATCACCTCAACAAAACTGTAAAAAAAACACATCGAGACAAAAACTCTAAAACTAGTCCCAGACACAATCAGATAAAATAACTCGACTCAGATAAAATAACTCGACTCTAGATGTTTGATTTAGGTAATAAGTACAACTCAAAAAGTTTTAGTAAGTTTTTCGACTGGTGGGCCACTCGAGTTGTCGAGCTTTGCAATCTAGGTTCCTCTTTCTCCAGGCGTAGCACCCACAAATCCACTCTCTGTGCTCTCTATCAGGAACAAGACAGCTTCACTTATGGTGGATATTATCTGGTAAATTGCCAATAGCAATTTCATTCCTGACTGATTTTCTGTCAACTTTCGCGCAATTGTAGCATCGGCTGTCCTTTTTTTGACATTCTGCTAAAGTTATCTCGAGAAATTTGAGCATGAAGGGGTCAATTCGAAGCTTTGAAAAATTCCATTCGAACTAGATATGATTAAAAATTTTATCATGTGACTACTGGCAAAAAAATGTTTTCTTCGCTCTCTTGCAACAGCCTGTTTAAGGATTAAGGACATGACCACCAAAATGAGCAATCGCTTTAGCGACGAACCCTCTGCTAAATCGAATTGAAAGCCTTTCTGTCCGGTACTCGATTAGTCGGAGGACTTATACCCTCCCTCCATCTAGCTTGGTTTGGCTTAGACTTAGCTTAGACCAGAATTTTCGGGGTCCGGAGGGTTAGGTGAAAATTCATGAAAACAATTTTCTCTTGGACCAAGAACTATTGAACAAAAAGCGTAAAACTACACAAAAATGATGAAGCCAAAAATAAATTTTGAAACAAAAATAAAGAAAAAACAGGAAAAAAATCAAAAGAGTCAAGTAAGACCAATAACAGTAGAAATTAAATTAAAATGACGGTTTATATACGGTTGCCGAACGAGATGCGATTCGAGTTTCTTAAGTCTTACTAATTGAAGTTGGTTTAGGTCCTGTTTGTAAAAATCTCCAAAAACCTTTATAAGTTGTTCTTTTTTATGTCGTAAATATTGACTTTTGCCGTATTAAAAATTAGTTATCCCCACTTTTTAGACCCGAAAAACACCAATTTTTCAAACGTTAGCGATTTTTGGGTATCTGAGTTTTTCCAAACATAAAAAAGTGTCTTCACAGGGAACTACATCATAATTCAATCCCCTAATAAAAAATAGTGCCGAGAAAGACTCCATGAAAGTTGAGAAAATATGATGTTTTTGGCTGAAGTCAACTTACAGAAAGTAACAAATTTTTGAGTTTCCCGAGATAAACGATGAAAAGTTTTGCTCTATAGGGTTTGACATGCCAACTTAAATACGTAATTGCATCTAAAGCAACCTTCCAGTAGCTCTGTGACGTAACGATTGGGAAAAGATTGCTTTGGAGGGTCCAAATTTGACATTTTTGAACAAGTTTTTGCTTTTAAACAAATTTCGGTCCATTTTTGTACAACTTCTGTGCTGTACAGTGTACGGGTTATTGCGCTTGATTAAAATAGTCTTGCGCGTTTCAAGAGAGAAAAGCAACAGAGTCTTTGAAAACCTATATTGGTACTCATAAAAAGCCACACTAGCAAAGAAGTTTTAGCTAAAAGAGCGATAGACTACTAATCAGGATCATTTTCGTACCATAAAAAGACGTTTTTTATGCTTCTAAGCCGTGACCGTTTATAGTTTGACAGGCTTTAAGAAAGAAATTTTTTAAATTTCACAGTTTGGAGGGTTCAAATAATAGCTGACCTCCCGAAAGAGGAACTTTTAACTACTTTTATCTTACAGGGAAGATTGACTGAATAAACCAACTTTGTTTTAAATCATTTAGACGATATTTGAAGGTGTTTCCGCGTCCAACACAAACTGTTTAGTTAAACTTGGGGCACCCTCCGAAAACACTTTG